TCTGAGTATAAGAGCCATAACTTAGGTATGGCTAAATAGGTAGCTGAAAGAATCTGAGTCCCCAAAGCTTACTGAGGCCAGAAACCAATCTGCTTACTTATGGACTTCGTTTATATGAGAGAGCCAAGTTTCTCTCTTGCTTTATGCTACTGGTATATGCTATTAACATTTTTAATGGTTTCTCTCTGTACTTGGAATAAAATTGAAATTCCTTATCATGACCAACAAAGCTCTAATGATTTGGCCTTCACCTAAATCCCCATCCTCTTCTATCCATTGTTTTCTCTGCACCATGCACATTGACCTGCTCTTTTGATCTCTGATCTCTCTGTGAGCTGATTGGGGTAGTTGATAATATTTCTAGCTCAGTTCTTCTCAACTGTCTTGAACTCATGTTTCTTGTGAGTGAATGTGGAAAGTGCAAACCCCACTATACTCTCCCAGTGTCTAACATTTTTCTAAGGAGCCAAGATTTGGCCTTAATTCCTATAGTTAATATTATCAAATCAAAAAGTATTTAAATCATCTTGCAAATATAACACTGTATTCTGACATTTGTATTGTAGTTAAGATACAGATTAATGGGAAAAGACTGGCATACATTGCTGATGTAAATTCCCAGTTTATCTTAGCTGAGAATACAGAATTTAATAGAAACGAAATGACTATACTGGACAGGAACAAACAGCCAAGTGTCTTGGTCTTTGATTCCTTGCTGATAATGGTTTCCAGAATAGTAGCATCCTGTTACAGTTGAGAAGTCTAATTCTTGCACTGCCACTGTCTGACGTTAGCATATAAAACAAGTCTAAGTTATATTGCTGTTAGCATGGAATCAAGCTTTCCCCCCACCTGCTTATAATAAGGGAAAACGTTTAAAAAGTTTTAGCTTTATGTAAACGTTTATGTAGCTATATGTCAGCGGACTTAATTAGACTTGAAACATGTTCAATAACTGATTTATAGCAATTTTCATTTTGTAATTATTTAAAAAGGATGGTTGTGCAGTGTGGGGTGGGTGTTCATTATTTTTTGGAAACATATAACTGTTATTTCCTTATCACTGTCATTGAACAACATAAAGCAGAACCTCCTTAAATTTTGTCAGACATACAACTTATGCAACTAATTATAGATCAAAAAAATTTACTGTTTTGAGAGTCCAATTAGACAATTTCTTTTGGTGGATGAGTTTTAGGAAAGATGATTAGAGAAAACAAAGATGGTACATATTTATTGTGCCTTACTGTCTGAATTTTTTAGAAATATGAAGAGCACTTCATTTCACAGAGTGTAGAGTGGGTGACTTTCATGTTCTAAAAGAAAGATGGAGACTTGAAAAACATTAATATTAATTTGCTTGATGAGATTCATTTTACTTTTATTTTTCATGGCTGCATGAATCTAGGACTCAGCATGCTGCCTTTAAAATAGTACGAACTCTCTTTATGAATGAATATAAATATACTTGTATTAATCAACAGATATATAAGTGTATATGTTGAATATATGAATATATTTTTTGACATAGTTGTTGAATAAATTAATGAGAAAATTCACAAGAATTAATTAAAAGAAAACTGGTTTACTTTTCGTGAAGTGAATCAGTAGAATTTCTAAAACATTTCAAATTATATACTTTAAAATGCACAAGTATTCACAAAAATTGAAAATGGAATTTCTCTTTCTTTGAAATTTGCTTTTTATTATTGTCTATCACAAGGATCTGCCCACAAATTCTATTTTAAACTGAAATGAAGTTCAATTCATTAATCTCATAGCAGCAACAGGATTGGATTAATTAGTTGTTTATAAATACTATGTTATACTTGGGATTTTTCATGAACAGTAGTATTGAAGAAGTCAGTAAATTCCCTTCAAATCTAGTTTTTATTCTTTAGAGTAAATGAGATAAAAATATCACAGCACAGAATAGTTGTGAGGATTAAATGAGAGCATAGGCTCATGTTAGTGTAAAAGTTTTGTTAATTATTTTATTCAACAGATATTCACCAAGTCACTTTGTGCTGGGAAAATTTCAGTGAAAAAGATGACAAAGTTCCTGATCTCATGGAGAGTATATTTTCATGAGGCAATCCAAACAATAAAAATGTAAACAAAACCAACAATTTAAAATAGCAAAGATTACTGTGAAGAATAATAATCTACAACTAGAAAGTTTATGTTATATATTATTTTTTTAAAAACCCAAACTTTCATGAAAGCATTATAAGTACAAATTTAGAATTTAGTGTGGATTTTTAAATCATTGACTATGGAATAGAGAAATATTCTGATATGGGATTTTTAATTACAGTTTTGGCCAACAATTCTGTTACACTATTTCCTACAAGTAGACACCATTGAACAATTAGTTGTTTACCTTCCCAATTGCTTAGCTTTTTTATATTTTAAGAAATCATTTAGTGTTAAGCATTCTGACTCAAATAGTATAACTTTTTCAAAAATTTTCCTTAGACGACATAATAGTAAAACTGAGACACTGCAAAATACTAGATAAGCTAAGCATGGGATCATGTTTGTAGAAATGAAATGTTTCTGATTATATTCACATGCTTAAATAGAAATGAGCTAGTAAACAAACTAAAGAAAAAGAAAGAAAATATGCTCCATGTTATGCCCTGCATTTTATCTTTTATTTAGTTTGTTTGCCGTGTGAATCTTCTTTTTTTTTCTTGTAGTATAACTGTTGTCAGTGAAGAGACATTACACTCCTTGAGAAAGCAGCATTGTTACTGAGGGGAATTTATCCCCTATGCCAAAGAGCTGTGCAAAAGAAAATGTTCTTGGAAACAGAAAAGTGAACTATGACGTCCCCTTTAGCTGGAAGGGAAACTGCCAGATAGGGAGATTTTATAAGTGAGATTATGTTCAGAATATTTACTGGAAAATATTCTACCCAGTCTCTGAATTTCTGAGAATTTATCAACATGTTTTGTTTTCTTTTCTTCAGAAAAAAGCTGTTCCACACTCTCTAACCTTTAGGCATATAAGGGAAAAGAAATCCTACTTTATTACTCACATTTTGGGTTTTCTTGAGGATACTCAGGTTATATAAGTAGAGCCAGTGTTGGCATGTTTGTTTTATGAGACGGCTAATTGTAAGGAAAGGAATCTCCTTTATAGTGCTAGAAATTTCTCTTTTTAACTCTGGCTGAGGAGTGGCCACTCTGATGCTCTCACTTATTTATGTCTGACCTGGAGCAAATAACTGTAAATCAAATAATTAAATTAAGACTTTTTGATTGTCTATGCTACCACTTAATCATACTTTTCTTTGATAAGGGCACAAATGAAAGGTTATTTTGATACTAAACTATCAGAATAACCTTCAGCATAAAATATTTCATAACCCATGTCTTGGCTGTATGATCGCTATAGATTTTTCTGAGAGAAAAATAAATTGCTTATTTAACCTTAGCTCTTAAAGTCTTTGAGAATTTTGAGTAAAAGGGGAAAAAATGCAGTTAGCGAAAGAAAAATTAAAAAAACCCCACAACATTGATATTCTCAGGAAATAACCTAGAATGCTTTAAAAGTAGAGGGAAAGTAAAAGAAAGAGCTCCTGGAAGTTAAAAATATTAGAAGGAATGAAAAATTCAGTAAAATTTAGAATATGTTAATGAAATTTTCTAATAACTAAAACAAAAAGTAAAAAAGTATGGAGTAAAAGAGAAAGAATAAAATATAAAAGAAGTAGATGATCAAGCTAGGAGATCTAGTGTACAACCAATTGCCATTTTAAAAGGATAGAGATATGAAGAGAAGCAAAATAGAGCCACAATACAAGAAAAATTCACGTAACTGAAGTCATGAGTTCCTATATTGGAAGGTTCTCCTAAGTATTCAGCACAGTCAATGAGACTCATGCCGAGCCTCTTCATTGTGAAAATCCAAAATACCAAGGAGAAATTGAAGATCCTAAGCACTTCCAGAGAGAAATAAAACAGAATACATGTCCAAAGGAACAGGAATCAGAATGACTCAGACTTTGCACAACAACAAGGGTAATTAGTGGACAAAGGATCAAGTCTACCTTGGATAATAACTTTTCAACCTAGAATTCAATAGCCAGTTAAACTGTACATTACACACACAGCCAGCATATGACCATTTGAGATACGGGCGTTCTAAAAAAATTTATCTTCCAAGCACTTTTTCTCATGAAGAGAACGCATGGTCTTTGCAATGAAAGGGCAGAGAGGAAGATGAAAGAGAAAGATCTGCGATCCAGAAAGTAGTGAGTCCACGGGAGAGAGGCTTTGGAAATCTCAGGATGATGGTAAAGGCAATACTGTGGCAACAGCTGAGCAGCAGGCATAGTGTGACAATGGACCAGGCTGAGCAGGAGGAGGGAGTGCTCCTGGAGCAAAGCAGTCAACAGAAATAAAATGGAACTGATGGATTAAGAAGTATGTTTGATTATATAGGGAAAAGTTTTATAGTTCTGTCAGAGAATTTGGGGAAGAATTAGTGATAGGTGTATAAAAAAAACAAGACAAATGAAAAAAATAGGAAAAACAAAATGTTAGTTCATGATGCGAACCAGCTGTGGATATTTGTCACATTAACGTGAGCTATGACAATTGATACAATATTTGTGGTATTAGAAGGGGTGATTCAGGGAGAAGTAAATTGTTTTGAATGACTAATTAAGAAAACAATGTTTTACTTTTGTCAGCACAAAAACTGATAACAGGAAAAGAGAGAGAGTGAGAGAGATTGAGATTATAAGAATATAAAACAGCTAAATCCTCATCCTTCATAACAGGAAGCTGATAGATAATATCTGAAACAATCACATTGAGAAAAAGATACGTCAGCCTGTCATTTGAAAATATGGAGACAAATACTAGAAGAAACAGGTAAAGAGAACTGAAACTGATTTCCTTTGAAGAAAGCCCGGGAGGTCTGAATAGCTATGCTAGAGACTCCCTTTTTCCTTTCTTTTCTTTTTTAATTAAAAAAAATTTTTTAAATGGAGGTACTGGGAATTGAACCCAGGACCTCGTGCACATTAAGCACATACACTACCACTGAGCTATACCCACCCCCAAGACTCCCTTTTTTAAAAAATAAGCTTTGTAGTATTAGCTTTAAAATGAGGTACACAAATTATCTTGATAAAAGTGCAAATACATTTAAAAAGGTAATAAAAGAGGGTGCGGTTAACCTCTGAGTTACAAGATCAAGGACAGATTGTTTTAAAGTTCGTCACAAAACTTCATTAAGTAGGCCGTCTCTTATCCAGCCGGCTGTGCCTATCTTAGGTTGTCCTCCTCTGAGGATCTTACCCGTCATTGGCTGTCCAGCCATCCATACTGGATACATTAAATAGGCCATCTCTTATCCAGCCAGCTATGTGACATTTCTCACAGCTTGTTTATCAGTTCAGCCTATGGCTTATTCTCTAGAGCCTTCAGGTGGGGACCTACAAAAGGTTGCAGCTACACATCCACAATGGGTGCTATTTCTGCTAAGCACAAAAAATTAAAAATTGAATGAGAAGACCTGAACAAGCAATTCTCCAATGAAGACATACAAATAGCCAATAGGCACATGAAAAGATGCTCGATATCACTGATTATCAGAAAAATGCAAATCAAAACTGCAACGAGGTATCACCTTACACCAGTCAGAATGGCCATCATTCAGAAGTCTACAAACACATGCTGCAGAGGGTGTGGAGAAAAGGGAATCCTCCTACACTGTCAGTGGGAGACAGTGGAAAACAGTATGGAGATTCCTTAAAAAACTAAAAGTAGGCTTATATGATCCAGCAATCCCACTCCTGGGCATATATCCAGAGGGAACTCAAAATTGAAAAGACACGGGCACCACAATGTTGATAGCAGCACTGTTTACAATAGCCAAGACATGGAAGCAACCTAAATGTCCAGCGACAGATGACTGGATAAAGTAGTTGTGGTATATTTATATAATGAAATACTACTCAGTCATTAAAAAAAAATAATGTAATCTGCAGCAATGTGGATGGACCTAGAGATTGTCATTCTAAGTGAAATTAAGCCAGAAAGAGAAAGAAAAATACCACATGATATCATTCATATGTGGAATCTTGAAAAAAAAAAAGACAAATGAACTTATTTACAAAACAGAAACAGACTCAGGCATAGAAAACAGTCTTATGGTTACCAAAGGGGAAAGAGAGTGGGAAGGGATAAGTTGGATGTGTGAGATTTGCAGGTACTAACTACTATATATAAAATAGATAAACAGCCAGCTTCTTCTGTATGGCACAGGGAACTGTATTCAATATCTTATAGTAACCAATAATGAAAAAAATACGGAAGTGAATATATGTGTGTATATGGATGACTGAAACATGATGCTGTACACCAGAAATTGACACAAAATTGTAAATTGACAATACTTCAATTAAAAAAAGATTTTTTGAAAAGTTGAATGAGACCCACAGCCTGAGAAATACCAAGTTAGGTCAAATTAATAAAATGTGGCAAGTAACAATGATTCATAGAGTTGAGCTTCATCTCTGATCTTCAGGGAATAAAGAGGCAGCTGAGCTGTTGAAATGAACAAAAGAAGCAACTGCTAAATTGGCAGCAAAGGAGGGAACGGAGAGCTTTCCAGAACTCAGACTTCTCATGATAGATAAAGGAGCACGCGATCTTGAGCCTCTCTTCTTGAAATTAAAATGAAAGTGACTTTAATTTTTTATTTTCAATTAGCAAATGATTACTATAAATCTTGAACATGAATATAATTTCAAAGTTTTTCTGTATAATAAGAACATTTTTGAAAAATACAGATAAGCAAAAAAGAAAATCACTAACAAATTTAGTGAACTTTCTCTACTCATAAACCAACTTTTATCAAGATATATACATGATCGTAGAGTATTTATTAATTTTTACCAGCTGTTTCTCTTTTGAATGTCAGTTCCATTCTTTAAGGATAAACTTAAAATGTTGCAAATGTGATGGGTAACTAGAATATCTTTGATCATTTATTTATGAAGTTATTTGCCTTATAATGCATGAGGCATTTTTATTTTTATTTATTTTTTATTTTTTAGGATGCAATATAGTGTTAACCAAACCTGAGACAGTATTTCATTATAAGGTGTAAAACAGCTAAGCTTGAGAGCAACCATAGCCTTTCAGTCTATCATTCCAAACATGGGAGATTTTCTGAAACATCTGTGTTATCTAGTTCTTGTGAGTATGATACAAAAAGCTTATTATTTATCGAAATTATAAACCTGATAAAGTAGTCTCTACTCCTTAGTGGAGTAAACTGGGTAACAGTATTTAATGCGAAAAAAGTTTCAATATAAATATATTAGTAAGAATTTAATGTGTACTTTCTAGATTCTCAAATTATGTTTTCCTCTAAGAAACATATGGTTACTATACAGATGTCAATCCTAGATGAATGCATTCACCAAATACCTCTTTCTTGAGCATCAGAACCTCTTGATTGACCATTGTTTTTTGAAATAAAGAGCAGTAACCTGGTTAATGTATTCTAGGATACAAAAAAGCATTGGTAAAAATCTTGCCTTTCCTACTAGTAGAGCTTTCATGGACTCCAACTTTAGCTTTATTTGAAGTGTGATATAGGTACAGTTAGTTTGTATGTGCATTTGTATGTGGAACTGCATGAAAAAATAGCTCTTGGGTGATTATCTTCTCCTGGTTTTCTACTATTTCCTTTCTCTTTTTAAAAGCAGGACTCTTGCTCATTAAAAGAAAGTTATTATCTTATCTCTTTTACCCAAATTTCCTTTCCTCTTCTCTGCATGGATGAGTCAGGATCCTAGGTGGTCATTCACTAATTCATTCAACAAATATTGATTGATGGTTTTGTGCCAGGTGACTCAATACTTTCTTTGAAATCCAATGATGTCTTTGAAGAAAAACAGCCAAGTTGAAAGAGATCACTTTCAATATCTATACTTTCCTGGGAGGAGAAAAAACAAAGAGTTCACTTTTGTGAAAAATAGTGAAGAAATTGACTATGCAAAAAATTTCTTCATTTTACATTAGGAGCAGCAAGAAGTAGTTCAAATGCAAATGAACTCTTCTTAAATTAATGACATTCCAGACTATAGAAATAGTAAAATACATAATGCATCGATGTCTTTCAGTCAGTGCTGCAATTAAAGTTTTGTGTGTGATATTGTTTATTGATATCAAATATAGCAAAGACATGCATTTATCCTTTTTACCTAGTTCTTTTGTATTTTTTTAATTTAAAAAATTTGTTTTGGGGGGAGAGGCAATTAGGTTTATTTAATTAATTTATTTGCTTTATTTTGATGGAGATACCAGGGACTGAACCCGGGACCTTGTGCATGCTAAGCATGTACTCTACCACTGAGCTGCACCCTCCCTCCTGATCTTTTTACCTTGTTCTTTAACCATTAATATTTTTTTTTAAAAAGCTTCATCCCTCAGGGTGTGTTAGGATGACATGAAGTCCCATACTTTACTGAAATGCTGTATTGATTTTAGTTGGTATATCATATGACGTTTATCCTAATTCTCAATATTATTATGAACAAAAAAATAGTGAGTTCAGCAAGTTCACTGAGAAGTTTGCAATCCACAGCACACAATTGCTTTGGATAGCTTTGAATTTCACAACATGAAGACATAGGCCTAGAGGGAGCTAGAAAAGATGTGAGCCAGCAGATGATGGCATATTGGATTGTGGCCCCATGTAGATTTCAGATCCTAATAGTGAAAAAGGAAAAAAATAGGACATATTTCATATGTAGTCTTAATGTGAGATGTCCGTGACACTTAATTTTGCTTTAAATAACAAATACTTTTTGCATGCCATTTAATGTCTTACCAGTGCTTTCTCAGAAATGTGAATCATCGCTGGGTGGGTCCCTAATTTGGGGGGGTTCAGGCCTCAGCCTACCTGCAGGGAAGTCAAGAGCCATGTGGTGTTAATAAAGGCAAGGCGTTTCCCTTAGCTGTGACTTTGAGTGAGTGCGGAGGAGTGATGGGTAGGGAGCAGACGGAGGGCTGCTTGCCTTCTGCTAGTGTAGTGGGCTGAGGATGTACATTCTGGCACGGCCTCTTTCCTTGAATGTCCTGCCAAGGCGTTCCTGCCTGAATCCTTTGAGACCAAAGATGCCATGTTAGAGAGAAATTTATTTTCCAAGCTGGATTAATCATTGACCTTTTCACTGAACTGCAGGTCTCTGTGACTGCCGGGCCAGGGAGAAGCTGCTGAGGGAGGCTTACATGTAGTGATTGCCTTTGACTTCGCTTCCCCTCTCTTTATCTCCACCTTTAGTCATCCAGTCCTGTGAAATCGATTTTCCTTTCTGAGAATCAAATGGAAATGGAGATGGCCTCCAGATCAAGGTGAAAATGTTAGCTTTATGATTGCTAAAGCTGGGTTGGAAAATGAAGCTTGACTGTGGTCAAAATGTGGCTTCCTGATACTGTGCCCTGGGTCTGGATCTCGGGGCTCGCCTGGGGAAACCACCGCACATTGAACACTGTGCGGCAGATGATGCAGACAGTGGCGGCCTGCTCACATCCCTGAAAAGAGACATGCGGGCAGGGCTGTATAAATAAAAAGAGATGGGCCTGATGGCCTTCCACAGAAAGGTAGGACGTCCTGCCATTTGCAACAACGCGGATGGACTTTGCGGACACTGTGCAAAGCGAGATAAGTCAGACAGAGAAAGACAAATACTGTATGATCTCATTTATACGTGGAATCTAAAAAAGCCAAACTTGTAGAAACAGAGAGCAGAATGGTGGTTACCAGGGGCCGGAGGTGGGTGGTGAGGGAACTGGGGAGATGTTAAAGAGTACAGATTTGCAGCTAGAAGATGAAGAAGTTCTGGAGATCTAACGTGCAGCGTAACAGTATGGTAATACACCCTTCGAAGTTGCCTAGGGGCTAAATCTTAAATGTTCTCACCACAAAAAAGATGGTGATTATGGGATTATGGGAATTATGGGATGTGATAGCTATTTTAGCTAAAGCTACTTAGATGGTAATCACATTGTGATAAAGAAGTATATCAGATCAACATATT